CCCGCTCGTCCTCTTACGCCTGATCATGGCCCGCCCGTACTCTCATGCCCAATCATAGCCCGCTCGTCCTCTTACGCCTGATCATGGCTCGGTCGTGCTCTCACGCCTGATCATGGCTCGCTCGTCCTCCCACGCCTGATCATGGCCCGCTCGTCCTCTCATGCCTAATCATAGTCCGCTCGTGCTCTCACGTCTGGTCATGGCCCGCTCGTCCTCTCACGCCTGATCATGGCCCGCTCGTCCTCTCACGCCTGATCATAGTCCCCTCTAGCTCTCACGCCTGATCACCCTAGTCTCTTACGCCTTTCACGCCTGTTATTAGTGACAGGCAATCGGGCAAATTAGAACGAAACAGCCTAACAAAGTTCTTGTCATACTGACACTTTGCAGCCTTCTTTGGACCATGGCGACTGACATGGTACTTTCGTTTACTTTACCGGTACGAATACGCCATTCACACCTGACATCATGCTGTGTTGATTTCGTCAACACTTAAAGAAATTTGCTGCGAAGCGACGCTAGCGGTGCCTTAGCCATGTCAGGTGTCCTAGCGCATTCTAACGAGGCTTTGAGGCACGGAAACCGAATGAAATGGACACCGAATGCTAAGTGCGTGTAAGCTTATATTTTTGCGCAAAGGAGGAATTCACACTCCTCTCGTTCTCAAGAAACCTGCGGATATATGCAGGTATAGACTAACGAGGTCAGTGACGTCAGCCGTTGCCTGTTTGCCGTCACCACTCGGAAGCACCACAGCCCGGCATTGTCAGCGGTTTTTAGGTACACGGTGCAGCTGTTGCCTGGTAGGCCGCCCACAGCCTGCCTCACTTGTGCCTTTTTGCATCGGTTCTTGCGAACACTTGTCTTTTTACGTAGGCTCCCCACGCGTCTTAATTCATGGGCTCACTAACCGATCTGATCTCTTGACGCTGCTGGTATCATTACGGCTTTGGTCCGGCTTGCTATAAATTCGTGCGTAGCTCTACGAACGTAGGATCGTCATCCCAAGGACAGAGGAAGGGAAACCCACTTCTTCAGCCACTCTACACGTGATGTGCCAGCGCCCGCTCGCGGCCGTCCCCCGCGACACCGCCCCCCCCCCTCCCCCACTGCTCCGTGTGTGATCTCCGCCACCCTGCGCACCCGCGGACCCGGAGCACAGCACGGGTGTCAGCGGTGCCGACCGGGTGGCCCACCAGACAGCGAACCCGGTCACCCGGCAGATACGCCACTCTGCCAGGCAGGTAGGGCAGGGCGTGTTCAGGCCAGCACGCGGCGCGCTGGCAGTTACGCTGCTCTGCCACGACGGGAACTTTCTCGACGCCGGCTCGTTGCGTCGCAATTTCCACTATGCCATCAGCCTTGTACGAGCACACCTCGTGCAAGGGCGGATCGAGGGGAACACATTTGGCTACAACCTAGCCTGATCATGTCTCTCAAAGCGTCAGATAAAGAGCACCCAGTATAGGATAGATTTGTAGATGCACAATCTACAGATCCAAACATTGACGGGTAGCCTGTTCATTCCCCAACCCGTGCTGGCTGGCTCGTTCCACCCTTTGCGGGGGTCACAGCCGATCTCCGGAAGTGTCCGCTCTCCCGGCTCGTGTTACGCGTCCGTGCAGCTGTCCGTGCCACCTTCACATCACGAAATTGGCCGAAGGCTTATGTAAGGCCTCTGGCGTCGAATCAGTAAAGACTTCCTGATACGTCCACCGGGACGTGCGGAGGCGGACTACCGCCTGCCGCCTAGGACGAGGCGTGGTCAATAGCCAGCCTCTCACAGACGACGCCGGCTATTCAGACGGCGTGCGCCGTATACAGGCGTGTGCCAAGTCTCATTCCGCACGATGAGCGTGCACTGGCCAATGGGCGGCCAATAACCACGTTCAGAAGCCGTCCGTTATGCCATACGCGGCGTGGGCGGCGGCCCGATGCCGCCGGCGCACAGCGTGGTCCGGTGACCGCGGACGGCGGTACTTACACGGGTCTAGCGGCCGCACCTCCGCGGGTATAGCGCAGCGGGAGGGGGAGGGGAGGGGCGTCACCTTGGTTCGTCGCACTCGACGCGTCGATCGATGCCTACCATCGACTGGAGGCGGCCTTCCAATGCCGTCCGCGGCGACTATGGCACAGCTGGCCAGCCTGTAGCACGAGCGCCCAGCTGTTTGAATGGCGAGCGCGAAGCTAGGCTTGGACTTGGCATGGCTAGGCCGTGTCTGACATGATGCGACTGCTTAGGACGGCAGGGGAGCGGCAGGTCTGGGGCTCCTTAGGACGTCAGGGGAGCGGCAGGCCTGGGGCTCCTTGGGACGGCAGGGGAGCGGCAGGTCTGGGGCTCCTTAGATCGGCAGGGGAGCGGCAGGTCTGGGGCTCCTTAGGACGGCAGGGGAGCAGCAGGTCTGGGGCTCCTTAGGACGGCAGAGGAACGGCAGGTCTGGGTCTGTTTGGCCTCGTCCATGCCGCTAAATAGTTTAAGCATCTCTGCAAAGAATAACCAAACCATTTATTTTTGACATCTGACCTCCTCTGAGTCCCCGATTCCGGTCCCTGAACCACCTGCTGCTGATGCCTGGTAACCGCGCCTCTTCCCGTGCCCCTGTCCTGTTTGCCTCCAAAGCTAATTCAGCCGCCACGAATCTCAATGTTATCCGGACAACCCCCGCCCTCCCCCCCCCCCCCCCCGCCTCCCTCGCCTCAACTGGCCCGTTACCGAACAGGCCGTCATGTGACGGGGCTGCCAAATGGCTGCTAGACGGCTGCCAGATGTAGTCGACCGTGGCCATGCCCGCCCGCTGTCATGAAGGCACGCTGATTGTCGCCTCCTGGAGCCCTGTGCCGACACTTGTATACTTCGTCTTGGTCTTGGCTAGACTTGGTGAATGATACTAGTGTATCACTGAGACGTTTGATATATGAACACGGTTGACAAGAAAACACTGGAAAAGTTCAATGGAATTATAGGAAAAATGACGTTGCAATCGCAGGCAAACGCTCAAGCTCCCGAGTCCGATGACTGTTTTCACCAGCACAAATTGGCTTTCGTTACAAACCTCTCCATTTCGCGATCATTAACGTTCTTGTCTCTCACATCAATAAATGGGAAAGTTGGCTGGCATGCCTGGCCATCTGGCACAGCTGCTTCTCATTTCACTTACTTTTTATGGCACGGCCATCTACAGGCTGCTGCAAGTACTTTCATCTGTTTCCCTGCACATAGCAGTGAACATGTTTTCTGGCTTTCATGTGCAGGTCAGCGCTCATGGTAGCGATAGAGCGCATTTAAACGTCAATCATACTCAAGATTCGGCCATTTAACCCTTAAGAGCGGCTTAGACAACGCTGGGGAGGGAAGCCCGACTGGTGCGACCTTCACCTGACCTCGAGCGGGCGGGCTGACGCAGTCCGATGTGGCCTCGCGACAGCTGTTAATCAACCGGACCACTCGCAATCGCCGGTCCTCGGGCACCGAACGCCACGCCTGGCGGTGGCGTTCGCGACGGTCAGGGCGTAGGGGGAGGGGGGGGGGGGAGGCAGGCAGCCCGCCCGAGGCAGACTCGGAGACCCGAGATAACGCTACCGGTGGAGCGTGATGTGTGTCACACGGAAGCCGCGCCCGGTGAGAGGCTCTACTCGTCTAGTTTGAGTAGGTTACCGCCGCGTGTTTTTCCGCTGGGGAAGACGCGCGGTAGAGCGCCGGCTCGCCCTGCTTGCCTTCCGTAGAGTACCGGTGTCCCGTTTCCGCGAACACCGCGCCAGTTTAAAGAGCGGACGAGCCTGGCACGTCACACACGAGTGTGCTCTTCAGCCCGGCCCTTAAGCCTGGCGTCCGGCCCGGTCAGTTGTAGCGTTACTCGCAGGCTGCGTGTCGATTGACTGTTTGGATGAGGGCGTTCCAGTGAAGCCAGGAACGCTCGCCGTCGGGAGCGTCTTTCGCCAGAACCAGCTCATGGCCAGGTGCGGCCAAATGTCACATGACGTTTCGCGCAATATTATTATTTATGCAATGGACGTGTTCCAAGAACTTGGCAGCCTTCGTAACGAACACTTACTACTGCGCTGGCCAAGTTCACCCTCATTTGAGTTCGGGCTGATGAATATCTACATGGTCAACCGAACCACATATTTCTGAATGGAGCTGCTCAGTGAGCCGTACAGCGCCGCGACCTCGGCGGTCAGCTGAGGTCGCGGCGCCGTGCCACGCCAGCTGCCGCATCAGGCCTTGGTGATGTACGGTTTCTCGCGCGCGCACGCCACCCCCACCCTCCTGTGGCCGGCGCGCGCCACCGCTGTTCCACTGCCAAGGCCGCCGGGCGGGGGCCGCGTCACGCTGGCAGCGCGCCACAGCCGCACCACGTGATCGGCTCACAAATAGAGCCCCATGTGACTCAGTCACACCTCGGCTCAGAGTAAACATTGGCGCGGGACTGATCCCCGACACATCCCGTCCCCGTCGGCCACGTGCCCGGTCGCCTCGAACATCCAGGCCCTTTAAATAGTGACTACCTGGCACAAGCTACAAGCAGTTCCCGTCGAACATTTCCAGTTACCTGGCTTTTATATTTGTTCATTATATTTGCTATATGACATCGGTGTTTGTGCGCTGGAAGTTTGCTGCGCTGCAGGTCACGTGCTCGCTGCATCGCAGGTCGCTTGTTTTAGGAAGCGATACATTTATAACGCTACAGCGACACGTGACTTCTCTGGAGCGAATGGACTTGAAAATGCGCGAATTGATGGCACAGAGCCGCAGCAGTCTCAAGACGGCTTCATCCATTCATGAAAGCGACTCATGACAAACCCTGTAGCGCTGACGGCAAATGGCTGGCGATTGTCCAAAACAACGGTGCTGCAAACCCAGCCGGAAATGTACTGTACTCCCCACGGCACGTCAGTTTACATGCGGACCAACGGCACGCTCCTGGTTATAGCGTTTTCATCGACTTTGGTCCACACTTCTTGACACTGGAAACCATGGACAGTGCGGGTAAACAGCTGTGTTTCGCTTACTTGGCCGACGTTTTCCAGTCAGCTGTCGTCACGTGACAGCGGCTTCAGTCACGCTGGCTTCCGCCGGCGCGTGTAAGTGACCTGATTTTGTTTAGGCCACTCGATATCGCCCAGTGCCACCACCTTCAGTGATGGCCTGGTGCTGAGTGTGGCTTACCGACAGCAAACTCGGACCAGGATTCTGCTGACGGATTTTATACCTGCACAAGCCCCTCCCGGCTTGTGGCACGTCGTGGGCGGCGTCATTTGCACATTGTTCCGCACGGAGTGCTCGCGGTGCTTGCATCTCACCTGGCATATATGGACGGACCTGTCGACGCTGCTGCTGAATGCTGATGTGTGTCTCAGACCTGCTTTTACTGCCACGTCTGACAGTGTCAGATGCGAGCTGGGGAGCTTACGGAGTCAGAGAGCAGCTGCTGTGGTGTTTCGTGTGGGCCGTGCGCTATTTTGAATTTCAGAGCAGGCTCACTGGCGGTGCAGCGGAGGCTGCAGCGGTCCTATCGAGTGGCTGTCCCATGCTTATGATGTAGGCCGATTTCTTGGCATCTGCGGCTCCGGTTCCTGACATGACGAAAGACTTCACATGACCTGACCGACCTGATACTCGCCGATCTGCCTTCTGGGCCTGACATCTCGCTCGTGTCGCAGGTCTGCTGTGTGCGCGGTGGACCGTCACCACATCAGCCGAGCCGCCCGAAGCCATGCAGCTGGAGATCCAGGTAGCGCTCAACTTCGTCATCTCCTTCATGTACAACAAGCTGCCGCGGCGGCGCGTCAACATCTTCGCCGAGGAGCTGGAGCGGGCGCTGCGCTTCAAGTTCCAGAGCCACTGGTATCCGGACCGGCCGTTCAAGGGCTCCGCCTACCGCTGCCTGAAGACGGGCGACCCACTCGACCCCGTGCTGGACACGGCGGCGCGCGAGAGCGGCCTGGCCCTGGCCGAGATCCGCCAGAACCTGCCGGAGGACCTCTGCGTCTGGATCGACCCGGGCGAGGTCAGCTACCGCGCCGGTGAGAAGGGCGCCGTCAAGCTGCTGTACTCGGAGCCGGCCGCCGAGCGCGTCAGCGAGGACCGCTGCGACCACGAGGTCACCTCCACCTTCAACCCGGAGGCGCAAAGCTTCCGGCCCATCGAGGCGCTGGCGGCGTCGCTGGGCTCGCTGGCCGTCGCCTCGCCGCCGGCCGGCAGCCCGTTCGGGCCGGCGCAGGCCTCGCCGACCCCGACCTTCCGCGCTGCCAGCCCGGCGCCCGGGTTCGCAGCGCACCGGCCGCGCGCGCCCGTCACCTTCACCACGGCGGCGTTCGCGCAGACCAAGTTCGGCAGCACCAAGCTGAAGAGCAGCGGCAAGCGCGGCAGCCGGATGAGCCCCACGGAGTTCAGCAACTACATCAAGCAGCGCGCGCTGCTGCAGCAGCCGCCGGCGCTGTTCGCGCCGTTCGCGCAGCAAGCCCGGCCGCTGTCGCCAGCGCCGCCGCCGGCGCACGAGTTCGCGCCGTTCGCCGGCAAGATGACCGCCATGCCCCCGGGCATGTACGACGCCGACGTGTTTGCGCCGCCGCCGCCGCCGCGCAGCACCGGCGCGACGCAGAGTGGCGCCCTGTTCGCGGCGCTGACACCGGAGAACCAGCAGCTGCTGGAGAGCTTGACGTACGCCTCCAACCCGCACCTGCAGCACTTGCTGGTCGCCAACTAGGCGGCCTGTGGCCGCGTGCGTCCTCTAGTCGTTCAAGCCACTGTGATCGGTCTCTTTCGTAGTTTGTAGCGGTTAAATTTTGTGATAATGGTAAGTGACGAGCCGTTAGCCGTCGGCCGGGCTGGGGGCACCGCCGGGTGTTTGAGAGCCCTGCCGGTAACAGAGAATACCGTGCCGGAGGAAGGCCTGGGAGTCCCGCCGCCCACCGCACGCCGGAGTGAGAGTCTGCGGCCGTTCAGACTGGGTTCTCCCTGAGCCGGCAGGACGCCTCCGGCGAGGACCGGACGATCTCGCCCGGTCAGTCGACCCGACAGGCTCACGTTCTGACGGTGGCAACGCCCCCACCCCAGCGACCTCGGCCCGCCGGGCACGGGGCACGGAGCGGCGTCGATATCGGGCGGACTCGACCGCATCGAGCGACCCCCTGACCTTTCGCCCTCGGACGCGGCGGCGGCTGCGAACTGCGCAGCGTTCCCTGCCTGGGACGCCATGACCTCGTGTATGATGAGCCTGAAGTCATGAGACCGGCACGTAGGCGGCGTGACGGAAGAAATGCTTGAGGTCGCGGGTGCGCCTCCGCGAGGCCCTTAAAAGTTTTGTAAGTTTAACATTGTTAACGTTAATACCACGTTGCTCTTCACAGAGATACCAGTTAAGACATCGTTATCCGCGGCACTTTGCATATATATATATATATATATATATATATATATCACAGTAAGATGTGTATTGAACTTTGCTGAGTCGCCGTCCAAAGGCCGATTCAGGTCGCGGATTTTAGCTCAGGCTGGTTCCCAGTTTGGCGAATATCTAATTCGATTCTAATTCGTTGGGGCTGCGGGGCGCAGCCACGTATGGCGCAGGCTGCCTGCTATTGGACCCTCATCACGTCGAGCCCGCGATAACGCCTGCAGATAACAGTAAAAATTCCGGACCGGGATCTGACAGTTGCCGGCCACTTGCTTGCGGTGGACATGATGCACTGAGGACCGCCGGGCCAGTGAAGTTACGCTGGCCAGGCCCGTCCCTGCCCGCCCCAGCGTCCGGTCTGGCCTGTCACACCTCCGTCTTCGTTCAAAATCCTCCCGTGAGGACGCCGTGTTCGTAATCTTTCGAATCTCGCACGGCGGGCGCTGTAGTACGTTGTTGAGCCTAGGTCACAGTGGTCATGAGATGGAGGGCTCTTGGAGGACGACCCTGTCGGAATTCATACTTGTAACCGCGGATAGAAGAGGTCTTTGAGCTCATGCGTGCTGAGGCGGGAGGCGGCAGTGATAGCCGCCTGCTGAGGCGGGAGGCGGCAGTAACGGCAGCGTGCTGAGGCGGGAGGCGGCAGTGGCTGCTGCCTGCTGAGGCGGGAGGCGGCAGTAACGGCAGCGTGCTGAGGCGGGAGGCGGCAGTGGCTGCTGCCTGAGCTGTCAGGTCACTGGTGGCACTCGACACTCTGTCCATATTTGCAGTATGCTCTCGTTCCTTCAGAATTGTTATAAACCGCAATTTCGTGCATAAGCGAGGCTCAGGAACATAATCGTGAGCGTTCTCAAAGGTGATGAAGCTTTCGTTAGGTCCCCTCCCCCTACCACCCTTGGCCAATCGGCGAACACTTAAGATCTTTGTTCTCCCATTGTAAGGCTTTATCACCAGTCAAACGAAATTTCTCTTTCTCATCGTGTCAGCTGAAGTGACGATCCGACCCTCTCCTGATCCTGGTTCCACCTCTGCCGACTCCCTTTTTGACTCGAGGCTCATCTTGGTCTGGCTCCTCCCCGACGAACTCCTCTTCGCACTGACTCCTCCTCTGCCGTCCATCTCGTCATGCCTGCACCGCCTCTGCCAACTCTTTTGTCCTGCCCCAGCCCTTTCTGACTCTGTCACCCCTGCATCCGCCTCTGCCCCGTCATACCACCCGCGCCGTCATGCTCAGTGGAAGCCGAAACGATCGTTTCATCGCGTAGTTGTTACACTCTCACAGGTGTTTATGCGGTGCGACGGCGGGTGCGTGCACCGCCGTACCCGCTGCATGGCAGATCCCGTGGCGTGCAGTGTGGCCTCCGAGAACCGGCGGTGGAGCCCGTGCCACCTCCTGATTGGTTGGCTCCGTCTAGCCTCCACCCCTAATCCTGGATGGTACAAACGTGCGTGGCTCTGCGTGGCCGGTTTGTTGCTGTTGGGCGTGCGAGAGTTTATTTTCGGCGTTCGTCGTCACTGTTGTCCCTGGAGGCGTTTTGACCTGGTGACCTCTGTCGCGCGGCGGGTTTTGCGCCGCGGCCGCCGCCTCCGTCACTCTAGCCACCTTGCAGGGGCGTTTGGCGGACGGCCGCGGCGCCGACCGACGAACAAAAGAAGGTCATCTGGCAGCCGGGCTGCCAGATCGCGTTATGTCTGGCGATGGGCCTGCGCTTGTAAATACGGCGTTGTTTGGTGTGTGCTGTAGTCTGGTCGTGGGGTTCACGAGCACACACACTGGGCGCCGGGGACGGGAACCCTCTGGCGAATGTCAGGCGTCTGCTCCGCCGCGTTTTGTACACACGGACCTGAGCACTGCGGGCTCATGCACTGTTTGACCCTTTTTATCGTGCATGCGTACTCGGTACCGAGCGTAGTAGACCAAGGCTTCAAGGCGGCGCTGGACCGGGCCGGTTCCGAACGCTGGCCGATGTACGAAGTACCAGAAAGCGCCCGCCCCTGGCATCGCTGTCAGCGACTGTACGTGTGACGGCTGTCCGTGGGTTGGGTGCTGCAGGCTGTACTGTGCTATACGCGTCCGTCGACGTTTATCATCAGGAACTATACCCCGCGTGGGCGTTTTCTATAGCCGTTCTAGGTGCGTGCGTGTGAAAGCCGCCACGCAGCGTAGATCAGTGTGTTTGTACGTTTTTAGAGCCTGTTCAGTGCCGGCTGCTTTCCCCGGTGCTAGTTGGCTGGGATGGCGCGTCCGCACGGCCTCCTCTGACCCCGTGACCGTCAGCGGTGTGGCCGCTATGGTGGACACCCTCGCCGCCTGTGACCCACCTCTGGCTCAATGGCACCAGCTGTCCAGCGGCGCCCCCGCCCTGCGTGCAGGTCGAGGCGCACGCCCTCGCAAGGGACGGGACGGCCCACAGTCTCTTTTACAACGTCTCGGAGCTGTTCTTGAAATTTGGCGGTGTTGGGACCTGTCTCTGCCCCGTGGTAGCGCGCCCTCCCTGATCCTGAATGCCAGCTGGGCCACCCCGCCCGCTAAAATGACGCTCACTGTAAACGAAACATGCGTGCCATTAGACGACCCTCTAAGCGACTTTCGGCGTGCTACTGATTGTGAATCCTCCAAAAATTGCTTTTTCCATCCCTAATAGCTCCAAAGGAACGTCTTCGTACTCTTACGTTCCCCGGCACCTGTTGGCGAGCACGATATGGCATCGAGAGTTTACCTGCGTCGGCGTTCGCACCCATACGTAAACAGCGCATTTTCGGCCGGCCTCCGAGACATGTCTCCGCGCCTTGGTCACATCCTTCCCGCGCATACACGCGCTCGTTTGAACAGCGGGCATCCGTTCTGATCACACGCCTTCGGTGACCAGTAGGTCCTCATCTCGTTCGTCTGAGGCATTGCCCTGTTCGTCCCTCGAAGCTGATCCCTGGTCCTAAGGGCGCGTGGCGGAGGGTCTCACATCGCCTCCATAGCACGGCTCCACGCTCGCCGGGAGGAGCGGGGTAGCCGAGGATATCCCGCGCATATTCGTAAATCGACACGAGTTGTTGGTAGCTTTTTGATTGTTATCTTCTGACCCGGTAGAACTTGCGTGTGCGTTGTGCGGGGCTGGCCATCCGACTGTATTATACACCACACTATAGTACTAAGCCATACATATTCTATAAGTGTGTAACATATATAGAGCTCTCTCTATCCACAGATAGACTATAATTTTCATACTATTGTACAATTTTTAAGTTTTTATTAAAATGTTTGTGGATTGACGGTGTTTTGATCGCGCCACCCGCCGGAGCGGTGCGACCGCAGCCCCGACCCAGCCGGGAGCCACATCGGGATGGGACGACCACACCACAGGCACGACAACCAGAGGCGCATCGAGTGCAGGCTGGATGCTGACCCTTCTTGTGCACAAATCCTGGCGGAGGAGGTCAAAAGGCAACGTGTTATTGTTCCGCAACAGAACTTCTCACGCAATTCCTGCTCATGACTTCATCTCCACCAGATTACTTCTAACGCAAACACTTGCCCGCGACACTACTTCTACGCGACAAAAATTCTAAGATAAAAACTTCTGCGCGAAGTTTCTTCTATCAGAAGAACATCTAGCATTCACATTTCCACGAGAAAAAAACTTTTAACTCAAAAACTTCTCCACCGCATCACATGTAATGTAAAAGCTAACGCATCGATGTCTAAGCGACAACACTTATAACGCAAGAGCTTCTAACGTAAATATTTACTTCGATGGGCTCCCAATGCCGGTGTAGAGCCTATGCGCCAAAGTCCAAAACTTGGACTTTCTCACCGCCTCTGCAGGGCGTCGGCTCTCTTCTGCGTACCAGGGTTCGATGTTCGCCACGACCACCAGGGGTCAGGGTACTAGTTGAGGTCAGTTCCTTAAGCGCCCCAGGAGGCCCCAAGGAGAGGCATCACTTTCGGTAAGGGTAGGACTGGACCAGGAAAGTTGACCTGGCCTGCCTTCAGCTCGTAATTCTTCGCCGGATTCGGGCCATTCTGCTTTTTTAATATACAAATAAATATTTGGTTAGTTGCAAAATTGTTTTGATGCTGAGGAATTACTTTCCATTTGAAGTCGACGTGATAGTAATACAAATTATATGTATACATACATACATACATACATATATATATATATATATATATATATATATATATATATATATATATATATACGTAGTGATACGTTTGGGGGCCAGTGTGCCAGCACTTAAGACACTTGCTGCATTTCACCTGCAAAGTTACCCTTCTTTGCCCATATGTATTGGGGCTCAGGAGAGCATTGAGAGGGTTCGAGTCAGCATTAGGATGGAGGGGCTCACCCCCCAAAGTATACAGAGCGCTACCCCCGGCCTCAAGTGATGCTGCGATACTCTGAATAGCCCTCCGGGTCCTTGGACCTGTCCAGGTTAAGCCAACAGACCCGCTGGCTTGCACGGACCCTGATCGGCACCCGACGGGAATCCTCTGTTTATCGGCAGAACGGGAATCCTCTGTTTATCGGCAGGGGCCCGACCGATTGTTCTCTCTTTGTCGCAAAGTTATCTAAGTGACGCAAGATGCTCTATGATCGGCATTCTCAGACCCTAATCATGTCTTTTTCTCCCTTTACAAATTTAATCCGAACCTTTTTGAATGAATGAACCTCTGGAATCAGAGCTCACGCCAAGCAGTGCTTATTGTGTGAGCTCGGATCACTACCATCCAATCGCGCAGTTTTAGATCAGCGTCAGAATTTGGTGGCGAAAGTTTAACGTGCCGCAATGATGGGCACGGTCCGTCCTGCTCTCTGACGTCACCTGGCCTTTAGCGCGGCCGCTGCCACGGGCCGCAGGCCACAACTGTCAAGGGCAAATACCAAAACGACAGTCGAGTCCACTCCGCCACGGGTGGGTGGATCGGAAGGCGGGTGCTCTCACCAACTAAGTCATCCAGCCAGACCTTTGTTCAGCTAACCCTCGCCCTGATAGCGGGACGATGTTTTTAGGACACATCTTTGGACCCCCAGGTTTTTTTAGGACACATCTCGGGCATGCTGTGCAATCGCACCCAATTTCAGTAGCCTACGGGAGGGGAGGGGCATTCATTGCGCGTGTTCTGACGCCAAAAAACGTGTTCCCAGCTTTCATGGCTTCTGAGCAGCGGCGGCTCCTGAGGAACACTGCACGGAGATCTACGGCCTGAGCGGACTAACAGGTGGCACCCGACGGTGCCGCGGAATACGTCCGACGAGCCGATATTGTTACATTGACAAAGCCATTTATCATAAATGTATGCTCAAAACACAAGGAACACGCCTGCGTAGGTTTCTTGTCGCCACAAACCACGGTCTCGTAGATATAGTATGTAAAGCTGAAAGGTGCGATTTTCTGGAAAACTGATCCTTAACCTGATATAACAGGACTTGTTATTGACCTAGTAACATACGAATTAGTGCCAATCGTGAGATCTCGTTGAGAGTAATCCACTGGCGTTTCCGCTAATCTCTATCTTTATTCTTTAAAAGGACCGCGGCCACACTAACCCCCTCCCCCTCAGTCCACGTTTGAAAAACAGCAATAGGGTACAAGAGACCCTGTTAAGTACCTAACCTTCGGGCTCCGAGTCGAGAGAGCGGTTCTCCCTTGTCTTAGGGGCCCCGAGTGAAGCAAATGCAAGTCCTATCACTGACACTCGAGGTACATGGCTCTGACCTTGCTCGGTTAATGGAGCCCCTTTCAGCATCAGGGTTCCTCTGTTCAGTATTCAGACCCCTGGCCAACAGCACGACCCCTCTGATTCCCGAGGGGCCCGAAACACGCCGAGTATCTAACTTATCTGACTGACTGGTTATCTGGTTAGGTTATTTGGCTGATATTACGGGACTCACTCTGCGCCTGTTCCCTGGATTGGGCACCGACTGGTACGGGACGCCGCCCGGCGTCGGCGCTACCGACCAGGGGCTTCTCATTGGCTCAGTGGATCTCCAACCGACTCACGAGGAGTTGCTTTGATTAAAATCCGAGGGCCGTGACCCTGTCCCTGTCCGGCTGATGGGGGTTCTGACCAGCGCGAAGGCCCTGTTCAATGTCGTGGATCCCCCGTTCAGTATCGGGAGTCTCCTGCCCGCCACCGGGGCTTCCGGCCAATAGAGGGCCCGTCAATGAATCAGATGCCCCTGAACGACGCCAGAAGAGGTTTTCTGATATCCCTTGTTATTGGTAACGATTCCGTTCGGCATATAGGTAGCTGCCCAATACGGGGTCCTTTTTTATTGAGGTCATCTCGCCTGTTCTGGGACCTCTGGCCTACAATAGGGCCCCATACGGCTCCAGACACCCCAAACCCCGGCCGGCCCTTCAAACTCTTCGGGCCTGAAGAAAGCCCCCGAGTCACGAAGAGAGCTATAGCCTCCGAAGCCCCCATATGTCCGCCACCGGCTGGGATTATGTCACCCAATGCAGCAGCTCATGTGGCGCTGTCATGCGTCATTCTACGCCATGTGATTGGCCATGCGCCAATATTTAAAGCCATGCACAGTGGCTACTTAAAACCGTGCACAATATTTTGGGCAATCAATAGTTCCAACATTTGAAATAGCTTCCATGGCCATTGATTCCGTGCACTGCACGTGCACGGATGTTGCGCATTGTGGCGTACGCAGACTTTTATTTCTAGGTAAGTTTTTTCATAGTGCAGACCAAGTCAAATAAAAGTCGACAACAATATCTCCCTCCGGGATGCCAGGATTGTGGAAAAAGCGGGATTGTCATTCTTTGTACGAAGCAGTGAC